GGTGCAGGCACTGCTACCACCTCCTTGCTCCCACTAGCAGCAGAAGACTCATAGCTGCCAGGAAAGAGGGTGCATCTATGTTTGGGGTGGAGGGAGCTTGCAGCTTTCCCTCTGTCCCTTCTCCCTCCCCTGCCAGAAGACCTGGCACCTGCCTTTCCAGCATGCTTCATAACTTTTGGTGTGCTACAAAATGTGTGCGTATGTGTAATATATGTTATGCTTTCCTGCACAGTGATGACACACTGTCAGGGAAAATACTAGTTTCTTTTTGGGGGTGAAAAGAGTCAAGACAGACCAACAAGAACAAATGAGAGGATTTTGGGGGAAGAATAAGTTGAAAGGAATGGATAGGGATAACAATAGGGATTGTAGGCAAGGGTAAGTAGGAAAGGATTGGCTACAACTTACAAGAAGAGAGACTAGCTAGCAAGCCAGAACCTTTCAGATGCTGTTGCTCCAACAGAGAGACAGCGTATAAAAGGCACAGATTACTTCAGACACAGCTTTATATGTTGTTTCTACAGCCCCTCCCCCAGCTCTGTGATTGGAAGGGAACTCAGAACGATCACAGTCACCGGCCAGCTACAGATGTCAGTATCAGAGCAGTCTTCCCTCCACCCCCCAACCCCGCCTTTTCAATACATGGAAGATCATCCCATCCTCCTCCCTCTTCAAAGGTTTTGTTTGCTGCAAGCCTTCCAAATCTCCCCAAATCTATTTGGAGGCTTCTGATTCAATTCAGGCCTTTTAATGCGTCTCCCAATTCAATTTGGATCGGGAGATTCTGCCGCCAAATCGGGCTGAATCCCCTCTGAATCAAATCAGCTACTGAAACTTCGCACAGCCCTACCATCTACCCTGCCTGTAGCCACTGCTCCCCACCTCCCCTGCAGTTGCATACCCTTCAGCTCTGGCACAGCTCCAGCCCTGGACATGAAGCACAAATTTAAGAGAGACTTCCAATAATTAGATCTTATACATGGAAAAATATAATATATTTATACATCTTTCCTGTATAAAAGATCTAATTATTTTGGGGGTGGGGGAGACGATAAAAAAAATTTAGAGAGTTGTCTTGGATTCGGGTAAATACGGCACTAAACCTGATTCTATCCACATCAATACATGAGTGAAAGACTGCTAAATACATCTCAAAATTAACTACTACAACTATTTCCATAGCTTCGCCCTTGTGATGAAAGGGGAAAACAGGAGTCTACTTGCATTCTCTCACTGCTCTAATTCCTGTCTAAACAGGAAGTTCATTTATATCTATTAATGTAGTTTATCTTCTCCCTTTCTCGTATTTTACCCTCCCCTTAGTGCACTCATAGACAGCAATTGTGTCCCCTTCCATCCTTTATTTTGCTACCCTAAAAGACAAGATCTTTTAATCTACTTTCATACGAAAGGCTCTCTATTACCTTGACTATCCTAGTAGCCCTTCTCTGTATCCACTCTCAGTTCATCTTTCTTGAACATGGGTGATCTCTGGGCAAGGTCTCATGTGTGTCCTGACTTGAAACAGGAATTAATTTGGAAAAGTCATGGACTATGTTGCACGAAAGGTCAGATTACTTTACCATAATTATTCCTTCTGCTTTTAAAAATACATGAATGTGTGGTCACTCTCAAGTATTTGAAGATGGAAGTTGTCAGTGCCAGAGAGAAACTGTTTAGAGTAATTCAGGGATATAGTGTTAGGCTTTGCAGAATACAATTAAATATCAAGATCTCCTAAGTTAGATCTATTGGACTGAAGCAGAATCTCAAAAGGAAACAAAAAAAACCCCATTTACTTCAATCACATAGTCCACCAAGTACTGATATTCTAAGGTTTAAATTAAGGCTTGGTACTTCCGAGTTAAGAATGTTATTGAACTAGCTCAAACAATCGTGTGATAGCTGTCAGGAGCGAGCAGCAAAGCAGAACAAAAAAGCTTAAAAAGGAGCAGGTATAGGAGTCCAAAAATAAGCTTGACCAATTTTCATTTAATCCAAATGGCAGTGGTAACAGGAAGGTTGGATTTTTTTCCTGGAAAGACAGTGGTGAAGTAGATTATGGTAGTTTTTTTCTGGTTAAATACAGAGCTATGAGACTGAAAAAAAGACTATGCACAGACCTGAAGTGTGCATATACTAAAACTTAACATAAACAATGCTCAACTACAAGAGCATTCTGGTCTAGGGTTTTTGTATCTTACTAAGGCCGATTACCCAATTTTGGAGATCACTTTTAGTTTCTAAGACCCCCAACATGTTATATTTAAGACACAATGAACAGGTTAGTTGTACCTTAAAAAGAAACCCAGCCACAAATGCAATTCAATTTAATGTGCGATAGTACAGTAAACAAGCCATAACATTATTTCACATATAATATGGAATAACTTTGTGGCTCATTTGTATCATGCCTTAAATTGAACATATGGCCAGGACCTAACAGAAGTCTTAAAATGGATAGGTACTAGTCAGTTTCATCAAATTATGCAGCTAAATGGAATACAATTTGGTTATAAAGCAAACAGTGGGCTCATCTATTCCTGGTCAAAGGCATGTCCCTGCAAATACAGGGGAGGGCCCACCATGCCAATCTGAGTCTGATAATTCAGCCCAAAGCCAGATGTTCACCAGTCTGAGTGCTCAGAAGTGGGTCCTGAGGACAAGCCTAGAGCAGCCTATCCTCAGCAGGCCTGAAGGCAGCCATTTACTACCCCCCACCCTTCCTTACAACAGCAATCAGAAAACTGGAGAAGAGTGACGAATTAAACCTAGAATATTAAGAAATCTTGTGAGTGAGATTGATTTTGGAGATGTGGCAAACACCGCTTAAGACGGAGAACAAAACAAAATAACTTAGAAAAATCTGAAACAGTGACTTGGTTTGGAGAAACGGATGATGATATAGTTGAAGGAAAAATGGCAGTAAACAAAACCTTGGATGAAATTATAATGAAATACAAGAAAACACATGGAAATCTCTCTATATTGGGCCAATACACTTTCAACTGTAGCACTTTATAAACGGTTTCTAATCTGAAGATTTCAGAGAACTTCATGGAGATGGAAGAGACTCATTCCTGCATATGACTGTCTTCACTTTGAAAAAAGTCTGAATAACTTAGAAACACTGTGAAACTGATACACAGTTATACTGCAAGTTAAAGGCAGAATTTTAAAGGATGTCCAATGATTTCCAATACCATACTTAATCTCCTAAGGAGGGGATGAAGATGCAAATCTGAAAAACAGAGTGAATCACCTCCACTTCCACAATTTAGGAAAGGCAAAATGACCTTTTTTCACAAAGTTAAATCCTTGGACAAGAACAGACATAAAAAGCATCCACCAGAAATTAAGATTCAAGCTGATTACCATCCCTATCTTCAGTAAAAGTGACCCCTCTTCAACTTTACCCATATTGTAATAGTCTTTGACACATGTAGCATCACAGATTTGAAACGCTTACATATACTTTCAGCTGTTAATTATTTTCTTTTAGCAAGAATTTATTTCAATAGTGGTATGATTTGGTACTGTAAGAAAATTAAATCAAGAAATCCAAGTTATTAAAATGATTTACATGTTGCTGAAATACAATCTTACTGAATATTAATTCAAGTAAATGAGCTTTTGAAAGTAAGAATCAAAATAAAGAAATGGTGTAGCATGTATCACTGTCTTGGTACTTAATCTTGTAGCACCACCTGCTGGTCATACTTCTATACACACTTTCTACAACATTAAAGGTTTGATTGTTAATTTTGCAATATACTACAAAAAAGGGACACGGTGTGCAATTTTCTTAGACAAGTATACTGTGAAATGCAAATAAGCTTAAATATCTATCAGTTGGTTTATAACTTTCCGCAAGAGACTGGCTCGTTCCTAGTTCACCATTTCTGCAATTCAAGAATGCGGTTAACCCCCCCCCCCAAAAAAAACCCCACAGCTAAATGTGAACCAAGTTAGCTACTGATTTAGCTAAAGCTTTTTTTTTTTTTTAAATGTAGAAGTGGCCACATCTACACAAGACGCTGACTGCGCAGTTGTTACTGAACAGTCATTTACTTGTATAAGTCCTGGAGTTCCTGTGCAGTAGCATCACCAAATGGCTTTTAGGTGGCACTGAACGTGCAGTAGCTCATTACTACTGTGCAGCAGCATTATTTCACACTTCCTGCCATGTGATGATACTGCGCAGTAGTAACGAGCTAACATTCAGTCTCACACAGACTCAGCAACTGATCCCAGAACAAGAGAACACATGCTACAAATTAACTTTACTTTTGAAAAAATAATGCTTTATTTAAAACCTTTTTTCATAATTCGAATAGGAAAAAATACTAACAAAGCAGTCCATACCTTGAAATACTTTCTTCTGATACGTGTCATGTTCATTAACATTACTCCAGAATTTATTCCAGTTTTTCCATAGTAGGGATGTCTAGCAAATCGATTATACCACCCAATACGAGGCTCCTCATGTTCTGGCGCCATTGCAGCAATTTGTGTGGAATTAAATTTTTTCAGAAATGACCAAATATCATCAACAGGTCTCAAAAACAGGATATCAGTATCAACATACAGTAGTGAGTCCACATCTCTGAGGATCAACTGTGAGGGAAAAATGTTTAAAACCAAACTTGAGATGACTCATTAAACACCTCCAACCTTCAACAAAAACTGGGCAACAGTCACTCTTGCTCACAGCTCCTATTAACTAATTTATATGTACTAGTTTATTTTCACTGTATGCAAATTAATTATCTTCAGGCTCAGAGTATACAAATCATGTTATTATTAACAACTCACTTTGTCTAGTATTTACTGGAGTGAAAACAGAAAGTCAGAAGCCTGACATACAACATTTAAGACACTAGTGACTGGGGAAATGAGGAAAGGAAATTTTGTTTTTAATGCTGCTAAATAAAAAGCACCCCTGGTTTCGTTCAGAGCATTTTAAAAAATGTTACACAAATATTGTTTAGAAGCAGTTTCCCACAAAATTTGTCAAAGATTAGGTAAATTGAGAACATAAATCTTGATGAATTCATATATAAACAATATGCATTGTACACTACTGTGAAATATACTAACTTACTGGCAAGAATAGCCGTTGCGAAGCACAGGGCTTAAACAGTTTCTTCCATTCTGTTGCACTCTCAGTAGGAAATGTTATTGGATACAAGGTATAATTATGTTTTCCTTGATATGGGAAGCCATCAAGCTAAGAACAAAATATAAGGTACTGTTTAAGTTTACTTTTAATGGAAAGCATAAAAACAATAAGAAAGAGCATAGAAAGAACCAACCATTTAGACTTGTAAATTAAATGGAAGATATGCAAAAATCCATACCAATTTGACTTCTTCCCTCCTCCAAACTCAGGTTGTTTCAGTTCTACAAAATCATTTAAGGGTATTGTTCAAGTATTCTGATGTTGAACCAAAAAATAAAAAGCAATCCTCAAAGGCCTTCAAAGCAAGAGCAAGTCAAAGATAGGATATAAAAAGAGACAATACAAACACTATAACAAAGTGCTCATCTAGTAGAAAATTTACTAAAGGAAATTACTACATGGATTTAGTCACATTGTTCTACTACCGAACAATTTTATGTAATTTTACCATCAGTGTAAAGTATCAAATTGCAAAAACAATCCAACCTTCCAGCTGTGCACCAATGACTCAATTACTACCTCAGTATGTTAATCTGGCCAGAACTTCCTACTTGACAGCTGGAGTTTGCCAAAAGGAGGCATAACCTAATTCACAGCTGTCAGACATTTGGACTTGTGGGGCCGATCTAGTCTAAGTGACTTCACATGAGCTAAACAACCCGCATCCAGCAGTGTGCAAATGGCTTGTCAGCACTGCTGTTGATGCAGGTCCAAAACCCAGGAGGTGAATGCTGCCACCTCTTTTTCCCCCTACCACCTAGTTAAGTCACCAACAGTGATCAAAATTCCCAAATCTGGTAGCAGCAAAGGGGTGTGAGGGTTTGTGGTGGCAGCATTCAGGTTCTGAGTTTTGGAGCTGCACCAATGCAGATTTATGAAGAATTCAAATTCAATTCTCAATGTCCTGCTCCAAAATAGTCCCTGATGTCCTTGGTGAGTATTCCAGTTACTATGAAGTCAATCTCTCAAATCTGTCCCATGTATCTCAGATGTTCCAGATATGTACAAACAATCAAATACCCTACTTCTTGCATACCACATGCCCCCAAGGCAAAATGCAGAAGAAACTATTTTTGCAGAGTTGCGGCTGCACAGAACATGTTCAGAGCCTAGTTTTTAGCTCACTCATCCTCCCTTTCCTGAGCAACCAAAAAGTTGAAGCCCTAGCTGCTACTGAAGACTGATCTATGATTCAGAAAAGAGGTAAAGTGTCTTCAGGGCTGTGAAACAGAAAATGAGAGTCCAGGAGCAACTAGCAGACAGCAAAATCACAGAAGAAAGGTTAGCTGGATTAATGGAACATTAAGACCATTAAAAAGGAAAGTCTATCATTAATAACTGTGGAGTGAAGAACAATGAGTCATTAAGTCAACTGACTCCCTCAGCTTCCTGAAAAGAAATATCACTGCTGCTGCCTGGTTCAGCAAGAATCAAAGTGGGGTGTTTGCATTTGGCACAGAAAAATCAGTTTCCCTGTGTAAACATGCATCCCAATTTTAGGGGGGGTGATTTTTGGGGAACAGTACATAGGGTATGCAAGTATGGGATTTACTGGGCCAGAGAAACTGGCTAGGGATAGAAGTTACACATAAACTGGTTTAAGTGATCAGAAATTGGTTTAAACCTGTAACAGAACAGAAGCTCAGTGCACATAAATTGGTTTCAAAATGGCAAAAATAGTTTAAAATAAACATGATTGAATGTAGGATCAGACTTAACTGATTTGGGTCAAACTGGTTTATGAAACTTCTGTCCCAGACTCCTTCCTGGTTCAAAATGAAATCAGAGTCTCTCGGCATCCCAGTATGCATTGCAGCTCTGGGCTGTGCTGTGTGATCCAAACAGTAGGACTGGTCCTGCTCCTCTGCTCCCTAGCTGGAGCAGTGAGGGCTGGCTGACAAAGGTGGAGGGGAGGGGGCAAGCCCAGCTGGGGATGCAACCCAGTCTGCAGGGGGTGAGGAGGAGGACTGCCCCCCCAGGCAAACCCTGCCTGGGGTCTGGAGCCAGGAAGGGGTGTTAAAACACCCCTTCCCCAACTTAAACTCACTGCTGGTTGTGACTGTGGATTACAAATCCAAGAGGCACCCACAAGCAGAAAGAGGAAGTGATGAGCAGCCCTGCAGAGTCCTGATGTTGTGATTGTGGACTGCAAATCCCAGAGACCTCGGGGCAGCAGGAAGAGGAAGGGATAAATAAGGCCCAAGTTCCCCAATCATCCACATGTCAAATGACTGTCCTAGCCACTGATTAACCTGAGAAACCTACTGTTTCAATAACATTTTCATCAGGAAACATTAGTCATTTTTCACAGATCTGGTGAATTAGTAAAATGTTTTGCTGAAAAAAAATTCCCAAATAGCAATATATAGGACTTCTGCATCATGTTACCACATTTAACAAATATACCTAACACCCATTCACAAACAAAGTGACCTGTACCCTCAGTAAGCTATAGCTGACTTAATACATTGCTTAGGTACTTACTGTGACTCTGAATCTGCTGTGTAGTTGTTCCTCTGCAAAAATATGGAACTGTAGAGGTTTGACACTGAAAATAATGGCAGATCTCAACATAGTAACAGTCTCCTCCAGCCTTTCACCACAGGCAACCACTGCAAGGTGCATTTTCTCTGCTGGTTGATTTTTCATAAAATTGTATCTAATGCAAAAATATTTTTAAAATAGTTAAATCTTTGATGGGCATAATATCATTAACTTAGACCAAAGCTATTTCATTAAAAAAAGCAAAAAAAAGATCATATGAAAATAGGATGAGCAATCCCACAACTGCATATAGATCAAATATTAAGAACACTCACAGAAAGAAATACACACTTTTATTGAAACACTTTCAGTCTTCATCATAAATAATTCCATCAAGAGTTATATTAAAACTGAGGAGTAACGCAGGTAAAAAAGTGCTAATTTTAAAGGTTCCTGGATAATCTTAAATTTTGTGCATTAAATCTTTTGTTTTACATGAATGCTCTAGTAAGATATGCTAAGAGTTCTGGAGAAAGAAAAAAAAAGTATATAATAAACCAGTTGACTAGAGCTGACTGTGGCACTTACTAACTTATCAACCTTTTTTTAGGCAATGCCATGGAAATATTATTTATTAAAAGTCCATCTACATGTATAAAGGAATTTTCCACAACATGAAGTGACATACTAGACAGACTATGTGGAGGTGAATGCAAGAGGAGCAGACTTACTATGGCAGAGGGAAATAGGAGTTGAGTAGTAAGGATAGCCAGAGCTCAGCTCCTTTACTTAAGTGTTTTATAACACAGACCCATCCCAGGTCTACCTGCTCTGTCTCCCAGCATCACTAAACAGCTCCCAGACCCTACATGCTAGCATACTCTTCTCAGGTACCTTTAAGCTACTTATCACCATAACTACCACAGCTCTGTTTAAGAGCATGCTCCCTTCTATCTATATTCTTGCTATTCACCATGCTCCCCTGTCACATTCAAAACCTTAAATATTGATACATATAAATGTTTAAAAGCAGAAGCAGCATAGGGAAAGTGCACCTCAGAGGCCAAGTTTACAAGTAAGTTGTTGAAGTAAAGGAGATTAGATTTAGAGAGGAGAAATTATAAAATAACATTGATATATTCTTATTATCCATGTAAACCAAGAAAACAGTACATAAGAAGTCTGGTTTACGTGAAGTCAATATGCTATTCTGCTTATCCAGTCTACATACAATGTAAACAAAAAGGAAATAAGGTTTATATTATCCACCCACCCACACTTCATTCATCAGTTACCCTTCTCAACTTCAGGTATTTTCCTCCACCCATAGCCTGTACAATCAATGCACAGCTTTAACTAGATGTATTGGCCATAATAATTAGAACACATGATCCCCTAACTATGTCAAGATGGAAATGTGTTTGGGAATAAGTTCTGCTACAGCACATCACAATTCACTATACTTTGGTCTGCTGTGCATGCATATCATGAAACTACTGTTATCCATTTGAGGACATAGATGTGATCCCTAAATCGGATGCTACCTATTTTATTAGATACTTGTAAACCATTTGTATTTGGGCCCCCCACATTCTTTTCTCATTCAACTGTACTCACACGATCCTTTCCTAACTGTGGCAACATTAGCATGTTGCACCTACAGAAAGCACTTACAAGACAAAGTGGTAGGGCTGGAGTGTTGTTGGAGCCATGATGATCCAGAAAGTGTATGAGGCAAGGATTTTTTGCGTCATCTTTTTTTGGACCAAATATACCATTGGGAGTGCTGCTGGACAAGCTACTGGTTATTTACTTATGCAGGAAAGTAGTTTTAACAATCTACTTTTGTTACACAATTATTTTAATCAAAATCACCAGCTTAGTGTAACTACCCTAACTGTCCAAATCATCAGCACACATTCTAAAGAATATCTCAGTCTACAGAAAATATTTTGGAAATCTCTCCTCTAAAAATATCATTCAACATTTTTAGTTAATTTTTTTCTAATCTATATTTAATTTCTAGGTATCTAGTGCTAATTTTAAGGCAAATACAAATTTTGTTTGTGGGAAATCTCTCTGGTGCATATTGTCACACATTTTATGAGTTTAGAACCTATTTCGTCATTTGTTGGAATATGATAAAATGAGAAATATGTTAGCTTAGGTTCAAGAACTGTTCATGCATACAATTTAAATCCATTTTCTTCTGAATCGCTTATTTTTAAGCAGCAATGCAGGTTTTGATGCACGCCTCAAATAGGTCAATTTTTGCTTCAATCTGATACTCTAACCTTGAAATGGTCACACAATGTTCATGATACATGGATGAAAACATTAAATTACAAAATCTTGCAAGGAGAGAGAGAGAGAGAGAGAGAGAGAGATCATTTACCAGTTAGGAAACTTACCCAAAATAATGATGCTTATCAAGCAACATTCAACGACATTCCCCAGCCTCAGAAACCCACTAAAAGTAAATGCTATTTTATAGCCATCGTTTTTCATTTGTGCATCTGATCTCTAAATATAGCTTAATACCACAAACTACATTACAGTTATGCACAAAACGGGGTGCACCTACACATGTGCCCAATTGCGCAGTTGTTAATGCGCAGTCATTTAGAAATTCCTTTAGCACTGCACAGTCCCAGTGGTACACGGGTCATTTCCGACCCTACTGCACAGCAGCAATAAGCGGCGGAGTCACAGTTCACGTCCACCAACACTATGTCACCATAGCTCATAGCTATGGTGATGTAGCATCTTGCGCGGATGTGCCCGCTGTCTTCATAAAATATACATCAAATGTCACTTAACACTTTTTACAACCAAGCATAGGAGGTTAATGTATACAATGGAGCCCCACAAAGGAAAAAAACGTTTAAATAAATCTTAAACAAAAATTGATGCATCACACAGAGACATTACTGTATTTTCTTGCATGCCACAAATCCCCAAATTAGATACTACACACCCTGTTTCTGGAAGACAAAACGTGGGGGAAAAAAAAGATTTTTTTTCCAGAATCATGGCCTAGAGCTGGCTTTTTAAGGGACAGCCTGGGCCGAAAACTGGCTGCCCCTTCTCTCTGGGACAGCAAACAAGAGGGGGGAAGTCCAGTGTTACTCGTTTCATAGCTACTAACAAACTGTCAGTAGCTTTTGGGTGCTCAGCCAAAGTTACTGCTAATTCATAGCTGCTAAAGGAGAGACACTTTTTGAACCCTGTGCATGTGTGTAAACACTTATTTAAAAGAGCACCCATTTCCACAAAACCTGTCACAGTGACTACTGAAAATCAATTTTTGTTGACTTAGTGTAACACCTAAGCTCAACAAAATTTTTAAAATTACAAATTGTAAAAACAAAACCACAACAACTTAAAAACACCTCCAAAAAGAGTAAATGAATAGTGCTTCCAGGTCTTATTAAAGTAGGGAGGAAGAAAATAAAGTACAATAGCAGAACTCTGAAACACCAAGCACTGCTAAAGCAAAAAATCACCACATGTAACAAGAGCAACCAATATAAATGCAAAGCAGACTGAATATGATGACAAGAGCTCAGATCCAAAATAATACCACTGTATTTTGAAGATGCTCCAGAAACCAAATTAGCCTCACCACAAATCCAGTGAAGACTGGATAACAATAACCAAGTTTCAAGGTATAGGAGCATCCACTATCACAAGGCCATCATGCAATAAGGATATAACCTACAAAGCTACAGAGCTTAAGTTTTTTTAATCATGTACAATCTAGAATTCTCCATAAACAAGGCATAAACAAAATCAGGAAAAACTTCTTTACAAGTCAAGTCCTTTAGGGTCTGGAACAGGTTCTCCCCAGAGGTGGTACAGTCACCCACCCTGGCAATCTTCAAAAAACATCCTGACACCCATTTTGCTGGGGTCAGCTGATCCCAGCAGTCTTTCCTGCCCAAGTGCAGGTGGGCTGGACCCAATGATCTGTAAGGTCCCTTCCAGCCCCTAACAACTATGAAAATATCAAAACAACTCTAAAATGGCAGCCATATTTCACAACCTTAACTGTGTATTAATTAAGTAGTTGAGTAAACTACTTTACCATATAACTAAACAAACATGAGAATAATCAAGTGCGTAACCCATAAATGTTGGTCTAATACCTGTTCAAAAAGTCACAAGAAAATGCACACTCTGAAACCATATCTCCAAATCATCGGTAGCAATTTTACCCCTGAATTAATCAGTTATATCTCTACCAATTTCAAATGTACAGACTCATGGTTGTCTGTACGTAGCACCTCCTAATTTAGTTCTTTAGTTCACCAAATGATATCCAAGACTACTTTGTGGGATATCACAACTGACTGCCCTACCGGCTACTGGCATAAAGCCAAAAATCTGACCTTTTTTCACTTGACTTTTCCAGAGACCAAGACCTTCTTCAAGACCCCCTTGTACTTTTTGCACTATTCAACCTCAAGATGAGTCAGTCAAAAATCTTTGTACCCATCCACCACTGTGTTGACCAGAGCCATAAAGAAATCCTCAACTTAAATCACACCCTGAAGACAGGCAAGCATACAGCAGACCCCGAACAAAATCTATCAGAACCAGGACAGAATACCAAGGAAGGTGGCACACAGGCTCAGCAACAAGAGTGCAAGCAGGATTAGGCAGGCCTTGACCATATTGAAAGAGACAAAGGACTTATCAGTGGGAACATCCAGGTCAAGCCAGAAGTACAGCAGTCTGTGCTGAACCACCAAATAATGGCCTTGCCGCTCTACCTCACCATGTGCCAAATGCACACCCACCCCCCACTTTCCTCAATGTGGAGGTACACACCACATCTGCTTTTGCCCCTTAGAATATATCTTTCTGGGGCAAATAACATACTAGTAGCAGTATCTCTGGTTTCAGCTATTTCCCCAGAGTAAGGAAAACAGCTTTCTGTGAGCTGAGATTTTTCAATACCCGTCACCTCCAAGCCTGGCCTAATGCCTTGCTATTCCAGCCATCAGCAACACGAGTCTTAAACGGCATACAAGGAATACATGCACATGTAGCTGTGTGACGGTTAGAGTGTGCACTTGTATAATGTCCACACAAGAAGTGACATAGGACTAGGCCTTCTAACCAACGAGAGCAGTGGCTTTCAACCTTTTGTCCCTGTGCACCAGGATCAGG